TTCAGTTCCCTCAGCTTGAGAAATGCTGAGCATGTTCTTCCCTTTTGTTTTTCTAACTCCAAGTCTTTACAGATTTCACTATAATACTTGACTTTGTCTTCTCAAGTTGACCTTTGAAAATTTCTATTCAGATCTTTTACCTCTTCATTACTTCCATTTGCTTTAGCATCTCTACACTGGAAAGCAAGTTTCAGAGTCTTTCCTAACATTCATTTTTCTCTTTATTTTCTTTCCTGTCTTCCTAATGGCTTTTTGCTTTCTTCTGTATAATGTTCTTGATGCCATCCCACAATTCTTCTGGTCTTCAGTCTTTAGTGCCTAATTCATCAAATCTGTTCTTAAGATGATCTCTAAATTCAGTTGGGGTATGGTCAAGGTCATATTTTGACTCTTGTAGACTTGTTTCAATTTTCTTCACATTCAGTTGTAACTTGCATATGATCAAGTTCCACAGTCTGCCCCTGGTCTTGTTTTGGCTGATGATATAGAGCTTTTCTACTCTCTCTTTCCATATATGTAGTCAATTTGATTTATGTGTTTTCCATCTATTGGTCCATATGTATAGTTGTCTTTTATGTTGTTGAAAACAGATATTTGCAATGAAGAAGTCATTGGTCTCGCAAAATTCTATCATGTGATCTCCAGTATCTTTTGTATAATCATAGCCATATTTTCCAACTACTGATCCTTCCTCTCTGTTTCCAACTCTTGCATTCCAATCACCAGTAATTTCAATATATCTTGATAACATGCTTTGGTCAATTTCAGACTGAAGAAGTTGGTAGAATTCTTCGATTTCATCTTCATTGGTTTTAGTGGTTGGTGTGTAAATTTGAATAATAGTGGTATTATTAGCTGGTTTTCTTTGTAGGCGTATGGATATTATCCTATTATAGAAAGCATTGTACTTCAAGTCTGAGCTTGATATGTTCTCTTTAGTAATGAATGCAATGCCATTCCTCTTCAATCTGTCATTCTCCCCATAGTAACCCATGTGATTGTCAGATTCAATATGGCCAATACCAGTCCAGCTCACTAATGGCTAGGATATTGATGCTTTTGTTCCATTTTTTGGAACAACGTCCAAATTTCCTAGGTTTATACTATGTACATTCCATATTCCAATTATTAATGGATGGTTACAGCTGTTTCTCCTCATTTTGAGTTGTGTCCCATCAGCAAATGAAGGTCACTAAAACTTTACTCCATTCACGTCACTATGGTCAACTCTACTTTGAGGAAGCAACTCCTCCCCTCTCCTATTTTGAGTGATTTCTAACCTGAGAGGCTTGCTTATCTTCCGGCACTGTATCTGACAATAATCTTGTGCTTTTCATCATGTTTCAATATTCTGATGTTATCTGACAGTGGTCCACTGCTATTCATAAGGTGTTCAGTGACTAAATATTCAGAAGTAGTCTATCTCTCCTTCTTCCTAGTCTGTCTTCATCTGGAAGCTAAACTTAAACCTATCCATTATGGGTGACACTAAGTTATACCAGTGGCATAACTTCCAGAATCACAGCAACACGCACGCCAACACAGTTGGCTGAACTAAAAGATGTGGTGGAAACATACAATAGACAGGCCCTAAAGCAGCAGTAAGAGCACTGCTGACCTTCATTAAGCATACAATAAGCCCTCTGAAGGCTGATACATTTACCCCTTACAACAACTTTCTGTAATATTATCATTCCCATTGTACACATAAAGAAATAAAGGTAAAGAAAGATTAAGTCATTTGCCCAAAGGCACAGCTAGGAAATGGCAATGCATGTTGAAATGATACAGCAACAGGACTTTAGAGTTTAATAGGCTTAGAGGTTTTCTGTCTAGCCCCACTCTAGATAAGAAAAGAAAAGAGATTCCAAGAAATTAAGTAACTTCACCATTATACCACAGCTTGTTAGTGACAGGAATTTACTGGTCTTACCACTATTCCAAAGTCCTTTCCTAATAGATGCATGTAGGGAGATTAACACATGACACATAAAGTAGAAACCAAATGCTGTAAGCTTAATGACAATGAGATAATTTTGGAGCCTCTAAGCAACAGGCCAGCAAACTTTTCCTGTAAAGAGCCAAATAGTAAACATTTTAGGCTTGTGGGCCACAAGATCTCTGTCAGGACTAATCAGTTTGATCACTGCACACAAAAGCAGCCACAGACAATACGTAAGCAGAGGATAGTGGTTGTGTTCCAGTAAAACTTTGTTTAAAACTAGGCAGGGGCAAACCCAGTTTGCCTACCCGATTTAAGTAAATAAAGAGATAATAAAAGTCTAATCTAGAGCTAGTTCAGATAAATGCCTCATATTTCAAATATATTATACCTTCAACATAAGAGCCATCATATTCTTCCATCGAAAGTATGTTGATGCACAGAGGGAGAACAGAATGCCCTGCAGAAACCAATGAAATGCCCTATTTGACATTTCTTACGACTGTTTCTTAAAATCTCTCCTGAAATCTAGAGAACTTCAAGAAACTCCTTATCTTGCACATTTTCAAATTTTCTTATCCTTTACCCACCTTATCTTTTCTTATCCCAGATACCCTCGCTCATCTTTCAACCAGTTCTGTGCAGTATCCACTGAGAACAGCTCTAACAAACAGGTGGACCTATCAGCAGGAGGGACCAATTCCTAGAGAAGGACATTATGCTTGGGAAAGTAAAGGGTCAGTGAAAACAAGGAAGACCCCTAACGAGATGGACTCGTCCAGTGGCAGCAGAAATGGGCTCAGCATAACATCAATTGTGAGGATGGCACAGGACCTGGCAGTAAGTTGTCCCTAACACCGCCACCACCACCATAGTGGGATAGTAGGCAGGAAGCACCTGTGGCAGGCAGAATAATGGCCCATCCAAAGATTTTCATGTGCTAGTCCCTAGAACCATGTAAATATGTCAAGTTACATGGTGTGATAGTTAAGGTTTTGTGTCAATTTGACTGGGCAGGATTCTCAGTGGTTTGATAGTTAAGATGCAGTTATCCTCCATGATGAGATATAATAAAATGTAATCAACTCTTTGACGAGGTCTGATGTGAGCAGTCAATCAAATGAAAGGAAGTGTCCTTGGGGATGTGGCTTGCTTCCAATTTACTGGGCACTGAGACAAAGCTTGCTGGGTCTAGATCTTGTATGTGACTCATTTTTTGATCTCCAGTTCTTTGGACTTGAGCCTGTGTCTGGCTCTATTACCTGCCGATCCTAGAGGTTGTCAGTAGCTTACCTTCTTCCCTGCTGGATGGGCCTACCATCTTCTCTGTCAATTATGGTTTAAGAGCCCTGAAGCTAAGTGAATCAAGCCTCCAGCCTGACATCTGACCAACAGACTTGGGACTTGCCCGTCTCTACAACTGAGTGAGCCATTTCCTTAACATAAACCTTTCTTTAGCTATATATCTATACATATAGCTTCATTGGTTTGCTTCTGTAGAGAGCCCAGCATAAGACACAGAGCAAAGGTTGCAGATGGCATTAAAGTTACAGTTGCTATACACTGACCTCAAAACAGAGAGATTATCCTGGATTATCTGGGTGAGACTAATGAATACACAGGTATCCTTAAAAGTTGAAGAGGGAGACAGAAGAGTAAACCAGAGAAATGGCAGCATGGTCGGTTCAAAGTGGCTTGTGGTCCAGTGTTTATCCTACAGTGTCACACTAGTATAAGAAACTGAAAAAGGCAAGGAAACAGATTCTCCCCTAGAACCACCAAAAGAAAGGTAGCCCTGTAGACATCTTAATTTTATCCCAATGAAATCATTTCAGACTTCTGATCTCCAGAACTGTATAATAAATTTGTGTTGTTTTAAACCAGAAAGTGTATGGGAGTTTGTAACAATAAGAAACTAATACAATCCCTGATGTTTTTTAAAAATGGCTAAAATTTGACTCCTCTTGCTGCTAGAGCAGTGCTGGTGGTACAGTGCCAGACTGTTAACGAAAAGGTCAGTGTGTGAACCCACCAGTTGCACTCTGTGAGAAAGATGAGGCAGGCAGCTTCCATAAAATTTTACTGCCCTAGAAACCCTATGGGGCAGGTCTACTCTGTTCTTTAGGTTGCTATGAGGTGGAACTGACTCCAAAACAATGAGTCTGGTTTGATTTAGATTCTTGCTGCTGGGGTCCAGTATTTATTATAGGGTTCTTAGTCTGAAATTGGATTGTATTAGCAGGTAACCTTTTATCTTACTCCTAAGCCCTCATGCCAGTTCTAATTATTTTGATACCTCAAGACTTACTTTTATATCCCATTTCTTAACCTACTCCCTGATTTAAACTCACATCTCATATTTTACTTTCATAGTCCCAGTTCCCACTTGTACTAGGCTCTCCCTGGCCTAGTATGCTGCTAGCTTTACCTCTAGTTATCCTCCTTGTTTTGTTATAGGATTTGTTTTTTATTTCCAAATCCAAAACCATTGTCTTAATGCTTACAAATTACTCAATATCAAATAAAATATACTGAGGCAAATATTGAAGTAATACGTTTCCTAAGGAACAAAACCTTACAAATAAAGTCTTGTTTTAGTGCTATAAATACAAACTGCCCGGTTATTTTAAATGAATTTAAACCATTACACCTAGATGAAATCACAATATAATTTTGAGAGAGACGGAAAGAGAAAGAGAGAAAGAAAAAAGAAAGAAAGAACGAACGAACTGGTATGTCCTGTGGGGCCTCTGCATCAGAACCTATATGAGAACTTGTTTCAGGTTTTCTTAGGGTCTGCCTCAGACTTGTGAATATCTGGAGCTGAGCATGTGAGACTGAAATTTATGAATTTCCCAGGTAACATTTAAGAAACACAACGAACTAGATAAGCATTAAGGTCCCTTCAAACTCTAAATCATGATAAAGTGTATAGCCTACCTAAACCATGTTTATTTAAAGGAAATAGCAAGGATTTGCTCTCCAAGGTCATCTGAATTAATTATTTTATTTTTTTATAGATGAAGTCATTTTCCCCCCATTGTCAATAAAACCTCACCCAGTTGTTTTTTTTCCCAGCATAAATTTCCATGTTCTCTCCATACTGTGGCTCTTCTAGTAACGTCTGATATTCAAACATGAGGCGGGAGCTCTCACGGAGGCGACTGCATTGAAACTGGTGATATTGTTGCACAAGTTCCTTCACCACAAGTAAGAGACATTCTGGATTTGAAGGATTCCAGGAGGCAAGATTCTGTAAGAGCCATAATAAAACACAAGTTAAAAATGAATGTTCATGCAAATCTAGTATCACATTCTCATATCAATGTAGAGGAAAGGCATGATAAAAATCTAAGAGGAACAGACCACTCCTAGTTAGCTATAAACCCTAGTGGTGCAGTCACAAGTCTTTTGATCTTGGTGATCTCCTGCCTTCTGAAAATCCTCACAAAGAATCAAGGAGAAACTCTATCATGAGTAGGCAGATACAGCAAAAGAAAAGCAGGGTAGTAATAACACAAGGAACCTAAATATCATGTTGTTGTTAAGCGCCTTCAAGTTGGTTCCGACCCATAGCAACCCTGTACAGGGTTTCCGAGGCTGTAAATCTTTACGGGAGCAGAATGCCTCATCTTTCTCCCGCGGAACAGCTGGTAGTTTCGAACTGGTGACCTTGAGGTTGGCAGCCTGACTCGTAACCAATACACTACCAGAGACCTTGATATATACTAAGGTATAATTCAGAATGAGAAGAAACAGCTGTAACATCCTTCAATAATCAGAACATGGAATATACAAAGTAAGAGTCCATGTAAATTGGAGGCTGTGAAAAATGACATGGAGCACATA